ACTTTTTCGTGAGCTAACGTTGGCAGGAAACAAACCATTCTTATTGTGGCATTAAAAGAATTCACTAAGAACCTCACATGGTAATACAAGCCTTTAACCCCAGCACTCCAGAGGTTGAGGCTCATGGATCTCCAAGAGATCAAAGTCAGCCTGATCTACATAGCAAGTTCCAGGTCAGATGGTACTACACAAAGACCTTTTCTCAAAGAAGACCAGAAACAATTCACTAAGACACAGAAAGACAGAAGTAGACAATTTATAAGACCGCAGAAACTGTCTTCATAGAAACAGTTTGATGGGGAACAGATGTTCTGTACAGGCAGTCAGGTAGTGTAGTAATATCATGGTACCATGAAGAAACTGTATTTAGGGTTCATTATGGCTAAGACCAGCCTGGACTCAAAACAATGGCAGTCTTTCCCTCAGTCTGAAATGACTGAGTACTATCACCATCATTTCCATCATGGGAAAAGAAATCACCTTGTCAACATCAGTATCTCAGAAGGTGATAACTAGTCACTCACTTGAAAGAGGAGATATATGTGATTATGCTACTTGAGGGTCTGACATTAAAAACATTCAAAAGTCAAGAAGCCTGGGGATATGACCAGAACATCTAAGTAGTAGGATGGCTGTGTGAGATATTCATGGAGAAGGGGAGGGTGAGATTCAGGCACAATGAGTTCAGGCAGCAGGAGGTTTAAATTGAAGAGCATGGTGGCATTTGTAGAAGAGCAAGATCCATCACATGAGTGTGACTATGTAGAATAAAACCCTGAGCCCAAGGTTAGTCTCTTGTCCAGCCTCCAAAGCTGCTTTTGTGTGATGAGAGCTCAAAGGTAACTTGCAATGGATCACTTGATTCCTTCATCATCCTCTCTCCTCCAGAGTGAGTAATGTAGAGCTTTATTTGAACCTATGGAGCTGGGTCCTCCAGTACATACCTTGGTGCTCAGTTCACTGTACCCACTCACTGATACACTCATGGGATGCCATTTTTCATTAGGAATGCAAAAGCACAAGTGAATAATCCTCAGATTCATAGGCTGAAAGATATATGAGACCAGCAGTGGCAATAGCCCCAGCTATGCAAAGAAAGGAAGATCCTAAAGTGAATATGGTCCTGACAGAAGGCAGACCCACGAACATTCTGGGCTCATCACCAGCTTCAATCTGAACAGAAGAAGCTCCAACCTCAACTCACGGCCCACAGCACATACAGACCATGGTTTCTGAGTATCTAGAGAAAAGCTATAACCTTTTACTCTCTTTTCTCACTACTTTTCTCTCTCTTTTCATGTCTTCCTTCTCTCTAACTCCTCCTCCTCCTCATCTTTCTCCCCCCTCCTCATTTGGTATTTTTACATAGTTCCCTTTCCTGTATTTTAGAATTATTTCTATTTTCTTTCATGTAAAAATATTTTATGTGTACAGCTCCAGAGCTCACATCTACCCTTCATAGCTACTTAGAACTGTCCCACCTTGTCCACATCCACCCTCCTGGGGTCTAGACCCCTTCCAGCTGCTGCTGTTGGAGTGACTGACTAGGCTCAGTCTATTGGGTAAGCCAGATCCTCACCACCAGGTCAACATCCCTCTGTGTTGGGACCAGCCCCATTCACACAGCATCAGGGCTCACATCTACTCAAACTCAACTTAGTTCATTAGAACTAGCCCACCCTGTCCCCTTCTGCCAGTCTTGGGCCTAGTTTACTTCATCCTGTTGGAGAGTTCTGGACTTGCCATTCAGGAACCATTTTGTTGCTCCAATAAAAAAATCAAAAGTGAGAACCTGAAGCACAGGTCAACTAACTATTCATCCCTGATCAGAAGGAACTCAGAAACATCAACAATAAAAAACAACTAAACTTCAACTCAACAAGGTCAGGTTACAATTTTGTATCAGACATGCAACCAGCAAAAGAAATTCATATGCCCAAGTCACAATACGAGCATAAATAATATAAAGAAGCAAGATAATATGTCCCCAGAAGGGTCTGGAGAGATAGCACAGCAGTTAAGAAGACTGTTCTTGCAGAAGACCCAGGTTCAAATCCCAGCACCCACATGGCAGCCAACAGTTGTCCATAACTCCATTTACAGGGGATCTGACAGCCTCTTCTGCCCTCCACAGGCATTGCACAACACACATGCACTTACCTACACACATACACACAAAATTAAAAAAAAATAATAAAATATTTTTTAAAAATATGTCCCCATCAAATCTAATATGTCATACTACAGTGGTATACAAAGAGAACCACCCAGAGGAAACCCTGGACACAAAATTTAGAACAATCATAAGCATGATCAAAGAGTTCAACCAATGTAGGGGTCACAGAAACAACTCAAAGAACTGAAAGAGAGTGGGAGTAAACTCCTGACTGATGCTCAAATAAATACAAATATACAGCTGAATAAAATGACAAAGGCAATTCAGGATTTGAAAAGTGAATTCACAGAAGTGATAGATACAGGATGAAAATTCTGGCTGAAATGAAAATGGAATGGAAAATCTCACTAAACCAGTTTGAAATAACAGACGGAAGTTTCACCCACTGAATGACTGAACTAGAAATCAGAATATCAAGACTGGACGATAAAGCTGAAGAACTGGACTGCTCAAGCTAAAAATGTAAAAGCTTAAAAAAAAAAAAAACAACCCAGGAATGGAATATGAAGGAAACAAGTGACACCATGAGAAGACCAAATCTACACAGATCTGCAGCAAGATGATAGAAGAAAACTTCACTAAATTAAGGAAAGATATAGCTATACAGATACAAGAAGCACACAGAACACCAAATAGACTGGAACAGAGCAGAGATTTCCTACAGCATATCATAGTAAAAACACTAAATGTAAAGAAAAACAATGGAGAGTAGTGAAAGAATTCTTTGTCCCTCTTTCCTCTCTCTCTCCCATTGTATAACTCTCCTTCCTCCCTCCCAGCCATAGATAATTGCATGTATGTATATGTAACAATAATAATCAAAGAAAAGAACAAGAAATTATGAGGGTGGATGGGGGAACATGGGAAGAGTTGGAAGGGGACTTGGAATGGTGGAAACTATGCAAACACAATACTCGTGTGAAATTCTCAAAAAGGACAAAGCAAAATCACACAGTGTAAAAAGTATTGTTGCATCAGTCAATGACTCTTCCTTGCTAGGGTCAGCAGTAAGTGATTTCAGAGGAGGTGAGTTTCTTTCATGAAACTACCTAAATGTTCAGAAAGGATCTCTAGGAAAGCAATTTTAGTGAGTCATCTCCCAGGCTAGAGTAAGTTAATGCACCTCTGAGTCACTGATGTTCCTTTAAATAACTAAATAAAATCATTGATTTACCAAGTTAAACTTTGGTAGGGTCCTCCCTTGAGTCTTGTATTGATGCTTTGTCTAGAGTAGTCAGATATTTACTGGGGTATCAGATATTTATTCATGAATTGGAAAACCACAATATATCCACTGACAAGGATCTGGCCTGAACTCATTGAATGCAGTGATGGACAGCAGAAAAATGTACCTGATGTATAATATACACAATTTTTAAACTGTACAATACACTTTATTATTGATTTTACTGTAGTTTTTGTCTCCACATACAAAAATAAAATCCAAAAGACTTCTTAAAGCACATATTTAATGATGACAAGAATGCCATGATACACAAAAAGTCTTGACAAGATTCCTCATCCTAAACACCCTGAAAGAATAAAATGAAAACTCGCCTTGAGGTTCACCTTACTTGGACCAGTCTAAGACTAGGATTCTGGAGGAACATGTACATTTTCTACTTGAACATCAAAAACTTATAGATAATCTCTCTCATATAAGAATCCTGGCTGGGGTCATGTTCCAAAAATCTTCCACTTTTTTAATCATCTTCAAATTATTTTGCAGAATTTTTTCTGGTTCTTCACAAGTTTCATTCTGTTTCACCAATTTCTTTGCATGATGATCAATTATTTCAAAACTGGACTCTAGATAATTAATTATGTGACATTAAACAAGT